CGGACATATTTCTTCATCGTCCTTCTCCAGAAATGTAATACGGAAGTAATTCCTATATATTAACAAGACGTTATTGATTTACGATCTTTGATTGTATATCAGTAACGTATGCCACAGTCTGCGATGCGAGGCTAAAGTGTCTGTCAATATCTCGTCTATCATGGTCTATGGAAGTACAAATTTCTATCCTATATACTTTAATATTTCCATTGAGATCATGTTTTAGAAAATTTCGTTCAAATTACGAGTATTGTTTAGATCCGACAGGCTCTAAGTTCGACTACATTATTTTTTTCGTATTCTCTTTTTTTGTCTAAATATTAAAGATATTAACTTATGGTAACTTCCGTTTACATGGTAACTCAGAAAATAAGATCCTATTTAACGTTATTAAGTGATAGAATAGTGATCTTCTCGTGTTCGAAAGCAGATTTTTTTTTTTATGCTTCTAAAATAGTGCCATGTGATTTAGTTCGATAAATATTTAGAGAAAATACTACCATTTTCAATTGTTGGTGATTTTTTGTCATGCTTTATATGTGATAGTGTAGATGAAGGTTTTTTTGTTTGTGATTTTTGTTCTAATTTAAGTACGTATTTTTTTTGTTCACGTTTTGGTGGTAAATTATTATTAGGTAATACTAATGGTTTAAGTTTTTGTTTAAGTTTTTGTTCTTCACGACGTTTTTTATCATATTCAAAAATTTTTTCTCTAAAACGTGGTGATGAATCTTGAAGTGATTGAAGTGAATAAGATTTTGTTAATCTAGATGATGAATGTGATGGTCGTTGTCCACCACGTTGAATATAAATATGCATTGTATCGATTTGTCGTGTTTTATCTTCACATTTTAATAATAAATCTGTATATTTTTTTGAATGATTTTCAATTTCATATTTAAGATCACGTTGTTTTAATAATTCATGATTAATTTCATGACGATAATTTTTTTCAAGTTTTTCAATTTGTTTTTCCTATGAAAAGAAATAAAAACGATAGAAAATATATTAATTAATATAAAATAATTATTTACTTTATTGGACACTTTTTCTTGATATTGTTTTAATTTATTATTAGCTTCATTTAATCGTTCACGTAATTCATCAGTTTCCTCAAGATTTGTTTCTTGAAGTAATTTTTTAAAAAATCTCATACGTGTTGTTTGATCGTGTAATATACGATCTCGACGTTCAATTTCTTGTTCAAGTTTAAATGTTATTTCTCTTTCATTATTTATATTTTCTTTTATTTCTTCAATTTCTTGTGTATAATCTCGAGCAACTAGACGAATATCTTCTAGTTGACCTGTATATTTTTTTAAATCTTTTTCTTCACGTTTTTGTATGAAAAGTAATGTTCTATTTTCAATACGTTCTTCTTCTAATTGTCGACTTAATTCAGCTATACAAGATTGAAGTTGTTTAAGTTTATTATTGTGAGCTGATAATAAACGTATTTCAATTTCATTTTTGTTGTTTTTTGGAGGACGTTTTATTATATTTTTTCGATTTTTTGGTGGACGAATATAAGGTAACAATTTTTCTTTACGTCGTATATTATGATTAGTTATTCTATATGAAGATTTTAATTTTGAATTATTCATATGATGAGTAGTTTCAGGTGAATGTTGTTTTTGTGGTAATGGTGAAATATACTTTTTATTATTATCTATATTTGTAACAACATTTTCATGTTCTTTATCATCATCAAAATCTATAAATGAATATAAAAATAACATATTTAAGATTGATAAAAAATAAAGAGGATTTATGTTGAACCTGATTCATAGGCTTTTGATTGAGGTGAATCAATAGGTTTTGATTGAGACGAATCAATATGTTTTGATTTAGATGATAATGATGCTGATGTTTTGTTAATATTTTTTGTCGATGGTATATTTTCATTATTCTTATTGGCTATTAAAATAAATTTAACGAATAAAATACATAACTTAAAATATTGATTTGNTGCTGAAATTTTCAGGGATGACTGATCTTGGAGAGATACGCTTCTGGTAAAAATTTCAGCTCGATTGGTCATACTAGACCGCATTTCCAGCTAATTCATGGGTCATTTTTGGCCTTCAGGAAAATCGGTATAACTCCGTCATAAGAAAAGTTAGAGAGTTCGGGCTGGTGTCAAATTAAAGTACCTGTCAGTACGCAATTTTTGTCCGAACAGAATTTTAATATTCCGTCCTATTCATTTTTTATGAGCATTTTAGTGCGATGGTCTTAAAATTAGCAGAAAAAATGGTAGTCCAACGACAGTAAATTCCACTTTTCTCAGCCCAGGAACCAACTTTCAAAAATTCGTTCGGACAAAAGTTTACTCTAATCGAGAGCTTTAAAACAAAAAAAAATATTGAATAATACCCAGGGTCGGGACGGAGTGATTCCAATTTTCCTGCCAAGAAACTGTATTCTGAGAAAAGCGCCACAGAAGTTTTAGAAATGGAATTTTTATTCAAATGCAGGAAATAATGGTATATTAATAATATTTATGTGGAATTTTTGAAAGCACGCAATGGATGGCGTAAGCTAGCACTACAGGTCGTACTATATGATATAAGAATGTTTATTCCATGATGGTAAAAGTAAAAAAGTAGTCTTCCAAAAAATAACAAAAACCGCGAAAATCTCTCCGAAAACCAGGTACTGAGGTGGAAATCTCCTACGAAGGTCTATAAAAATTTGACCTTTTTTTTTAAAAATTAATATATATTCTGAAAGAGGAAACTTCGCTGCATCTTTCTATGATAAAAAGTCGACTTCGATTACTTTTCCAAAAAATGGATTTTCTGAAGGGGGGGGGGGGACCCTTAAGAAATATAAGATCTAAAACTTTCACAATGAACCTACGACACAAATTCTTTTCTAGATATTCAAAACTCATTCAAATCTACATGATGTATATAGTCCCGATTTAAAAGTAATTAACCAGTTAGGAGACTTTTCTCATAATTTGCACTAGAAAAATATCATTTGAATATATGAGAAACATAATATTCATAGATCACTCGACGAGCTCTATCTAATCATGATATGAAAATACGAAAATAATTTTAGTGAAATTTAGAATTACCACAGTATCTTACATCTGATAGTATACCTTAATAATTAACTTTCGACATCGAAATATCTTCGAATAAATTATATTTAAAATATTATTCTATTTTTTTTAGAGTTATAATGAACAAAGTACTTCTAATAACAATTATTCTTGTTGAACTTGGCATATTAGGTGGTGTTGTCTATTGGAAATTTTTCTCTAAATAAGATAAACTTAATTTCTTTTTCTTGTCCTGTAAGACATTTGATCATGTTTTCTATTTCTGTTGTCAGCTGATTTATTTTTATTTTCTTGATCATGTAATTTTGTTTTTCTTTTTTTCAATTTTGATGAATATTATGTGTTATTTATTAAATGTTCTAGATTTATCTCTTGTCTTAAATTTTTTTTTTCTATTTGAAATGAGTAGTAATCTATCAGCACAATGGGAAAAATTAGTACGACCTGGAATATTAACTGTAAGAACTTCGAGGATTAAGATAATAAATAAAAGAAAAGATTTTATTTTATTTTATTTTTTAATTTTTATAGTTATTCTATCGAGAATATCCATTAATGGAATTGCATGATGATGCTTGTCAACGTATTCAAGAATTTCTATATAAAATTCTTCGTTTTCTTCTTCGACAATATCCACATCGAGCTGAACTTGAACAATGGTAGGATGAATGAGTTTGAAAAATGCATTACTTATAGAAATGTTGTTTGCATGATGCATAATTCTATTCATTTCGAATATGAAACTCTTTAAAAAAATGATAAAATTTTTCATACAAGAAAAACTATTACGAATGATATAATAGAAAATAAATAAGTTTACTAATAAATTATCTGACATATTTTAGCATAATTCATAGAGTTTATTGTTTGATAATATTTTTATAAATTACAAGAATCATATTAATATCGTGAGTCTCTATTATCAATCTAATAATTTATATTATTTGATTGTAAATTGTGGTTTGTTTTTTTGGGATAGATGTACTTTGGCCAATGTCTTATCAATACATCAAGAAAAACGACTAATTAATATCGTAGAACTATTTACTACTGGTATATGAAATATTCTATTTCGATACGAAAATTTAATAGTGAAGTATTTACATAGATGTATAATTCATTAGATTTATATACATTTGACAGATTTCGAAGTTCAATCTAATAAATAACATATAGATTTATGTATTTTAAGTACAAACGAATGAAGTTTACCTTTCTATTTTGGAAAACTCATTACATCAAACAGCTTTCATTACGTTGTCAAACTCCATGAGAATGTTTATATTAATTTATCTTTTTTTTTCTCTCCTTACGATGTCTGAAAGGATCAATCAAATAACCCATTATATATGATAAATATCATATTGCTCTGAAAAGTCCATAGCTATGCCACCAAGATATGCATTATTTATCTTGATTTCAATGTTTTTGTATTTCAAGTACCAAGTTCATACTAATTATTTTTGTTAGACATAGATGAAAATGATTTTTGACGATAGCAAATAAAATAATATCTTTTTAATAATAGCAGAAACACTATTAATCTAAAAAACTGGAATCTGAATAAATACTTGTCGCGTATGTATTGACATTGTTCTGTGTTAATAACAATAAAAAGCAAACAATTATTATCACATGTACATATTTTTTTTTTTTGTTAAGAACAATAAATAAATTATATTGAAAGATATTCAATTTTTTCTATTTTTATCAAAATCTTCTTTTAATAAAAGGTCACAATATGAAAACGAAAGAAAGCAACAAATACGTCAATGTGTTTTTTTTTTCCTTAGTATCATTCTTATTTTTTTCTTCTCAGACTATAAACATCAGTTGCCGATATCGCCTTCCGTCTGTTATTTTGGCTTAGAAAATAATTATCTTTGACTAGAAAAAAGGAAAAAAACTTCTGGCTTTGTTTTTTTTAGGTTGTATATCAATTATCCTGAAGCACAATATGCATTGAATCGTAGTAGTCGAAAACGAATTTTTTCAATTGATCAACTTCAAACATTGGTTCATAAAGTTTGCATTGATACTTTTTTTGTTTGTTTTTACTTTTAAAAAGAAAACGACAATACTAATATTTTTTCATAGGAATTTGGAACACATAATGAAATGGATATTAGTTATTTAGCAACAACACTTGAACATTGTACCAAAGATGTACTTAAAGTTTGTGTTAAGAAAATTTTCTTATCTGTTAATTTTTATATTTTAATAATTTTAAGCTTGCTCATGATTATGTTAATCGTTTGGGAAAAAATGAAATTGTAGCTAATGATATTGATTTAGTAATGAATGCTGATACGGTAGAAATAAAAATGATTATTTAAAATAAATAATTGTTCCTTTTTTTTTTTTTTGTTTCTTTCATTAAAAAGATTTTTGTTGAAATTCTTCGTTCGGATTTAAATTCAACAACAAATAATTCATCATCAAATTCTAATATAGATACATCAATTGCAACAATGTCATATAATGAATTAATTCGACATTTTATTATAACAGAAACACAATATAAAGATGATTTAGAATTATTAATTAAATTCTTTCGTAATCCTATTCGAAATTTTTTTAATGATGATTTACAGGTTTGAATAAATATTAATTTGTTTTATTTAAGAAATTATGTTGTTTTGTTTTCAAACCAATCATCTTAGATTATTGAAAATGTTTTTGGTTGTTTGGATGATATTTATGAATTAACAACGAGATTTCTATCGGATCTTGAAGATGCAAAAGAAATGAGAGATGATATTGCAAAAAATATTTCATTATATGAACCATTTCAAAATTTTATTGAAGTAAGTTGTTCGATATGTAGAAGTTATTCTTAATACTATTTGACAATAGATGATTTTATTGAATATCTAACACGATATGAAAGATTTAATAATAAAAAGAAAATTGAAACTGTTTCCAATAAAAACTTAGGATATTTATGTGTATTGATAGGATCCAACAGAGAGAGTATTCATTTTCTAGTGATTCGTTATTATCTACTCTTGCTATTCAAATACATTTTAGTGCTCAAAATTGGAGAAAAAAAAATTAGCACTAATAACTTTTGTAATAAATGTGAAAGTTTTTGTAAGGTTTCTTTCAATTATATGATGTACTTAAATTGATATAGTGTAGGAAACGAGTGAATAAATGATACAACTGTCGCATTGTATACTTCAATGCTAATTATAAATCTTATTCAAGAAGAAAAGCGCAAATTTCGTATTTCGCCGTACTCCAAGAGTATGTCAAAGCTATTCTCTAGGGCATTTTTAGCTATTATAAATCTACTGTCAACATATGTCACGAGCACATTAGTTTGAAAATAAAACCTTAATAATTTGTCATTATCAAAATATAATGAAGTATTTGGACTTTAAAACTACATAGATTTATATAAAATGAACTCAAAATAATCTACTCGTGACACACATTAACAGTAGTCTTAAAATAGCTAAGAAGCTGTAAAGAATAATTGTGACATATTTTTGGAGTGCGGTCAAGTATGGAGTTTTCGCTTTTTCCTTCCTTGACTCTGTTTGATTCAATCAATCATTGACTATTATCTCTATGACAGTTCAGGACGTAAATAGCTGGATAATCTATTCTATGTGAGCTTGTTAATATGACAGTGTCATAGATGGATCTATTCTAAGAATAATTCGTTATTAGCAAAGTATGTTTAGTAATTTTTATGATATTTTTTAAAGATAATACATTTGATTTTCATTAGGGCAATGAATTTGAATGTTATACAAAATATACTCAAACAATTCTAACAACAGATCATATAGATCAATTTAAAAAAATGTTAAATAATGAACAAGTTAAACGATATTTAGAAGTAAATTTGTTTTTGTTTTTTCTACTTCTTTAAAACTCTCTTTTTTTTTTAAAAAAAAAAAACTTTAGTCGAAACTCGATCAAATAAAAGAAACATATCGATATTTATTACCTGCACTATTACATATACCTATTTATCATTTTCAACAATATCTCATCTATTTGGAAGTATGAAGATTTAATTAAATGATTTCTTGTTTTTTCAATTTTATTTTTTTCTTTGTTGTGTATTTTTAAGAAATTGGCTTTGTTTCCAGAATCAGAATCAGCTCAATTAACTGATGTTCTTAGTGTATTAAGAC